CGTGAGCCATGGCCGCTGGGCCTGCGCGTCCGGAGCCTGTGCTCCGCAACAGGAGAGGCCACAACAGTGAGAGGCCCCCCCACCCCCAAAAAAAAAAAAAAAAAAAAAAAAAAAAAAAGGGCCGACCTAACTCCTCTGCGCTACCTCCAGCCCAAAGCAGAAGCCACACCCGATTCCCAGTAACAGGAAGGTGGCGGCTCGGACGGATGCATTACTTGTCCTCGGCCAGAGTGCCCATCCTGGGGGCCTCGCCAGGCCCTCCCTGCCCGGCCCAGCGCTCCTACTTGGGGTCTTTGACGAGTAGCCGGCGGATGAAGTCCTTGGCCAGCTCGCTGGTGTTGCTGAAGTACTCCTCGTCAAAGTCGTAGTTCACGGCCGAGATGTTGGTCAGGGTCTCCTGCTTGGTCTCTCCCAGGAATGGTGACGCGCCACTCAAACTGGAAGGTGGACACCGGGCTCAGTGGGGCTGGACAGCCCTGCGGTCACCCCACAACCAGGCCGCTGCCCAGGCTACCACCCGACTCCGCCATGCCCATGAAGGGGGCAGACGTGGAGGAAGGGCGATGCCGGGCCCCGGTCCACCAACCACAACTGTGCCCAGCCTCCAACCAGAGGCAGTGAAAATCCACTGCCCAGCCAGTGAGGGGTGCTGAAATGAGTCGGCAAAATCTCTGCAAAATCTCAAGGTAGCTACGTAGACACACAGCCTCGAAGCACTTCCCTGAAGCATGTAGTAGTTAGAGGGAAAACGGCTTTGCGGGGAGGTGGCGGGGAGTCCTGGCCGACACTGCAGACGTCATGTGTCTTCCAGACATGCTGCACTGAGGCCACAGCACCACACTGTGGGGTTATGGGTACGTGATGCTGTCACTTAAGGTGACAAACGTATATGTGGTCTTCACTCCAATCCTCAGGTACACAGATCCGAAAACCCTTGTCATTTCCTAAAACCCAAGGTGGCAGCATCTTCTGTTATAATATTTCGTCTTTGTTCCCTTTCCTAAAACAGCTCGGGGTTTGAGATGAAAGGAGTGTTTTTGTTGTTCACAACAAGCCCCCTCCAACCACACCTGAGCTGATGCCACTGAGGTGACTTTGGAATGGCCCTAAGGAGGGGGCCGGTGGCCAGGGAACCAGCAAGTGGGGTAACAGTGATGGAACTTTCATCCTCACCCCTGACCTCCAGGAAGGGGAGGGGCTGGAGGCTGAGTTACTCTCTAATGGGCCCGTGACTGAGTCCACCACGCCTAGGAGCTGCCAGCCGGAGGACGAGGGGGACATGCCGTCCCGGCCCAAGGCCTTGCACGGTTGTTTCACACGATGAGGCCCTGCCTTCTGAACTCTCCTGAACACACCTCTCTCTCCTGCACAAATTCATTCATTCGCTCATGCATTCGTCCATCCATCCAGAGTTCCCGAGTGCCGCGACACGTCAGAGAACTGAGGGTGCTGCCTTCCACTCGCTGTCCCCGCACAGAAGCCTCCCTACCCTCCTCTTGACCCAGCAGGGCCCCGGGAGGGGGCAGGAAGCGCTGAGCAGGTACTCACAGGATGTAGGTGATGACGCCAATGCTCCTGGAAGAGAACACACAGAAGAGATGGGGGTAAGCTCAGCCAGGGGCACAGCACCCCAACCCCAGAGCCCCAAGGGGGCTGGGAGGCCCAGAGCCCGGTCGGCAGCAGGCCTATCAGCCCCAGGGACCCTCTCCCTCCAGGAGCTGCACAGCCCCCAGCAAGGCCCTCGCTCTGCTCGGAGGGTCTCAGGACTGGACACGGAAGCGCCTCTGGCCACACCTGCCTGGCCAGGGTCGGGGCGGTGTGGACAGAGCCCAAAGGCACCACAGACATGCAGACGTGGGGCCCTTGACGGGGCTGCTGTGGCCGAGGACAGGGCTGGCAAACTCCTTCTCTAAAGGGCGAGACGCTGAGCGGGGCTTTGAGGGCCACAGATGGTCTCTGCCACATGTTCGTGTGTTTTTAACAACCCTCCAGAAACGTGAGAACCATTCCGAGCTCAAGGGCCTGGGTCGTCGGCCAACCCTGTTCTAAGGCAGCAGTCTGTCCTGCCCCTGCCCCATAGCTCCAAGACCAGGAGAACAGGCTACACCCCGGCCTGCAGCTGTGACCGGCAGCTCCTGGGGACAGATGGGGGGATGCCCTGAGGAGAAGCAACGAGGGCAGCCCCGGGCCCACCACCCCCCACTCACCACATGTCCGCCTCCAGACCCAGGGGCTCGTAGTTGACAATCTCGGGAGCTGCAGAGACAGGGAGACAGGGTCAGGTGGCGGGTGTGGCTAAGGGGGAACCAGCGGACAGTGCCCACTCAGGCAAGGCTGGCTCTCGGCAGGGAAGGCCGGGGTGTTGACAGCACCAACGCCAGGCCTTGAGTCCCCCGTGTCCAGCACCAGGGCCAGGAAGGGAAACCTGAGGCCAGTGGGCCTGCCTCACCCCATGCCAGCTGGAAATCCTCCAGTGCCTCCCAAGGCCCACACCGGGCCTTACCCACGAACTCCGGGGTGCCAAAGATGTTCTTGAACTCGTTCCCTGCTTCGATTTTGTGGGCGATGCCGAAGTCGATAAGCTTGATCCGCGGGTTGGGCACATTTTTGTCCAGGAGCATGATGTTCTCTGGCTGGAGGCAAGGCGGGAAGGCAGGGCGCTGGGCGGGAGGCAGTGCTGCTGCCGGCCCGCCACCTCAGGGAACAGCGCCAGGTTGTCCCTGAGCACCTCCCAATCCCAGCATGCAGGGTTTGTGCAAGCTGACCCCCGCACAGGTCCAGGCCTGAGCCAGTCCGTCTCCCCAGTGCCCTGGGCAAGGACATCCTGTGCCGAGGGGAGGTGGACCCTCTCAGCCCCCATCCTCACCCTCCCCGGTCAGGCTGGTCCCCGGCTTTGTCCTGAGGGCCCAGCGGGGCTACCTTGAGGTCGAAGTGGGCAATACGCTTGGAGTGCAGGTAATGGACACCGTCCAGGATCTGCTTGAGGAACTGGGTGGCCTCGTCCTCTGTCAGCGACTCCTTCTCCGCTAGGAAATCGAAGAGCTCCCCGCCGGAGACCAGCTCCAGGATGAGCACCACATCGGTCTTGTTCTCAAAGATGTCGTGCAGCGTGATGATGTTGGGGTGCCGGATCTCCCGCAGGATGTTCACCTCCCGCTCGATCTCCTCCCGGCTGACCCCCCGGCGGCTGGACGACAAGCGGCGCTTCTTGATGAACTTGGCTGCGTACTCCTTCCCGGTGCCCTTCTGCCGGCATTTCCGCACGATCGCAAACTGGCCGCTGCAGGGACAGATGGGGAGGGGAGAGTGGGGAGTGGGTGCTGAGAGGCACACAGGACTCTCGGGACCGGGCAGCGCGCGGATGACGCAAACTCCTGGGACATTTCGTCCCAGCTCCTGGCGCCATGCTGAGGTGCACCCCACCAGCTGGAGAATGCACCCCACCCGGCAGGGGTGCTCCCACGCGAGTGCAAATTGGTGCATAATACAGTGGCTACCTGGCGTTTCTGCAGCAGTGAAAGAACACAAACAGCTCCACGTTTATCAAAAGGGAGCTGGACTCCCATCATGGTAAGTCAGGCAGAATTTTCGCAGTCTTGGAAAAGAACGACTCTCCATGTGCTGACCAGAAAGACACCCATGGACTTCCCGGGTGGTGCAGCGGTTAAGAATCCACCTGCCAATGCAGGGGGCACGAGTTCAAGCCCTGGTCTGGGAAGATCCCAAATGCCGCACAGCAACTAAGCCCGTGCACCACAACTACTAAGCCTGCGGTCTAGAGCCCACGAGCCACAACTACGGAGCCCGTGTGCCACAACTACTGAAGCCTGCATGCCTAGAATTCGTTCTCTGCAACAAGAAGAGCCATGGCAATGAGAAGCCCGCGCACTGCAACGAAGAGTAGCCCCTGCTCGCTGCAACTAGAGAAAGCCCATGAGCAGCAACAAAGACCCAACGCAGCCAAAGATAAATAGTTAAAATAATAAAATAATTTAAAAGAAAAAAGAAAAGACAGATACCAGTGAAGACCGGCTCAGTGAAAACAACTGCAGGGTAACACAAGGAACGAGGTTTTTCTGGGTAAAAAGGGTACATGCTGTACCCACCTATAAAGATATGTTTATGTGTGTACGTGCAGGAAAAGAGGTCTGAAGGACACACACCAAGCTGTGAGCAAGAGACATCTCTGAGGAGCACAACTGAGGGCAGTGAAAAGGGGTTTTTACTTTTTATTTGATATGACTCTATACGATTCAACTTCTCACAGTGTTATTTCATCATTGTTTAAAATCTAAGAAAAGATAAAAAACCACTGAGTTCAAAAGAGCTTCTTATTCAGGGACTTCCCTGGAGTGCAAGTGTTTAAGACTCCATGCTCCCAGTGCAGGGGGCACGGGGTCAATCCCTAGTCGGGGAACTAAGATCCCACATGCCGTGTGGCTCTGCCAAAAAATAAATAAATAAAAGGATGTCTATCACTTAAAAAAAAAAAAAAGAGCTTCTTATTCAATAGGCAGAGTGAAAGAAGTACACACATTTTCACAACAAGAGAGAAGAGTGAGGATGTGGAGAAACCAGAACCCAGGTACATGGCTGGTAGGAGTGTGAGATGGGGCAGCGCAGTGGAAAACAGTCTGGCGGTTCCTCAAAAGGTGAAACATGGAGTTACCATCGGACCCGGTAACATCACTCCACAGAAACTTGCACACAAATGTGCACAGCACCATTATTCACAGTAGCCATAAGATGGAAATAACCCAAATGTCCCTCAACAGATGATGGATACACAAAATGTGGTCCCTCCACACACAGGCACATCACTCAGCCATGAAGAGGAGAGAGGCACTGACACTTGCTGCAACGTGGATGGACCCTGAGAACACGATGCTCAGTGAGAGAAGCCAGACACAGAAGGACACACAGGGTGTGATTCCATTGATGGGAAACGTCCAGAACAGGCAAATCCACAGACACAGAGGGTGGATTCCTGGTTATTGGGCTGGGGGAGGGGATGGGGGTGTGCCTGCTCATGGGGATGAGGTTTCCTTTTGGAGTGATGGAAACGTTCTGAAAGTATTTAATGGTGATGGTTGTAAGACCCTGTGAATGTACGAAAGATCATTAAATTGTACACTTTAAATGAGTAAACTGTATGGTGTGTGACTTGTATCTCAAGACCCCTGGTATCTGAAGAGAAAGAGAAACTCTCTTTACTGCACTCCAGGGAGCTGTCCAATGTCCGTATTCTTTTGTTATCTAGGAACTTACGTTAACTTGCTTTCACTCAGGAATTGAGTGAAAAAGGCCAGAGGGTAACTATTTTAAGCTTTACGGGCCATGTGGTCTCTGTCACAATTCTTGTGTGTTTTTATAACCCTTTAAACAAGGAAAAAGGGCTTCCCTGGTGGCGCAGTGGTTGAGAATCTGCCTGCTAATGCAGGGGACATGGGTTCGAGCCCTGGTCTGGGAAGATCCCACATGCCGCGGAGCAACTAGACCTGTGAGCCACAATTACTGAGCCTGCGCGTCTGGAGCCTGTGCTCCGCAACAAGAGAGGCCGCGATAGTGAGAGGCCCGCACACCGCGATGAAGAGTGGCCCCCGCTTGCCACAACTAGAGAAAGCCCTCGCACAGAAACGAAGACCCAACACAGCAAAAATAAATTAATAAATTAATAAACTCCTACCCCCAATATCTTCAAAAAAAAAAACAAGGAAAAAACCATCCTACGTTCGTGGGCGGGCCATACTGAACTAGGTGAGGGCCGGATGTGGCCCAAAGGCCATGGGTCGTGCACCCCAGCCTCCAGAGGATATATGAACACACACGTGAGCAGAGAAACTAATTCTAAGACAGAAGGCACACATTCCAGACAAGAAACATCAACCAGGCACTACTGGGGGTCAAGGGAAAGGAGACTAGGTGACTACGTGACAACTCGTGGAAATGGGGGACGAGCACGCAGAGGAAGGAATTGTGCAGACGGGCCTTGGGGACAGGAGGGGTCTCTTAAGTTGGTGACAGCACAGGGAGGACAGGCCAGACAGAACAAGAAACAAGTGAGGGGCGCCTCTGCCAAGCCAGCAGGGCCCTCAGAAAAGCCAAGGGACCCAACTGGGTGTGTCCCAGTAAGTGGACCTCACTGGGACGCCCAGGACCACCTGTAGCCAGCAAACACCTGAAGCGCTGCCCTCGTGAGCATCGAGACACAAAGGCGCCCACGGCAGACCACTGCAGACATGCTCCGAGCACACTCAGGCAGGTGAGGATCAAGGTGGGGAGTGCAAATTATTACCAATCAGGGTAGGCTAAATAAGGGTCCACATCCGAATCCCCAGAACCTGTGGACACGTCATCTCATGGGGCAGAGGGCTTTTGCAGACAGAATTAAGTTAAGGCCCCTGAGATGGGGATGACCCTGGATTCCCTGGGGGGCCCAGTGTCACCACAGGGTCCTTGTAAGAGGAAGGCGGGAAGGTCAGAGGCAGAGCGAGATGGGAGATACTGCGCTGCTGGCTGTGAGGATGCAGGAGGGGCCGCGAGCCAGGGATGCAGCGCCTCTAGAAGCTGGAAAAGGGGGAACCGATGCTGGTCTGGAGCCTCCGGAAGGACCAGCCCTGCAGGTCCATTTTAGACTCCTGACTCCCAGACCTTTATGATAATAAATGGGTGTTCTTCTAAGCCACTAAGTTCTGGTAATTTGTTACAGCAGCAACAGGACACTCAAACACTAATCTAAAAGCCAAGAGCACAGGTCAGACGAGAAGTGTCAAGTGTCCCTGATCAGGCCTCGCCCCCCGCACGGAAATCCACGCTGTGCTCCTGCCCCCATCTCCACATCTTAGCTAACATTCCCCACACCTGAAAGGCCTTTCCCCCTCCCCTCTGCCGACATCAACCAAGCAAGTTCTTCCAGGTCCACCTTCCATCCCACGATGATGCCTGACAGTAATAACTTCGAGGGCTGAGTGTTCGCCATGTGCCAGGAACACTGCTAAGCACTGGACGTGTGGCCTAATTCTCAAATACAAGGATTTTTCTCCCCTCTAGCTTTATTCCAAGCTGAACTAACAAAAAAACTAACAAAGAAAGAGTTCATGGGAAGAGGGACAAAGACACTGTTAGGTGCTGAATTGTATCCCCCAAAATCCTAACCCCCAGAACCTCAAAATGTGAGGTAATTAAGTACAAATGAGATCATTGGCGTGGGTCCTAATCCAGTATGACTGGGGTCCTTATAAGGAGATTATAATAAGGACAGGAGATTAGGACACAGACATGCACAGAGGGAGAAAATGTGAGGACATGGGGAGAAGGCAGCCGTCTACACACCAAGGAGAGAGGCCTCAGAGGGAACCAAGCCTGCTGACACCTCGACCTTGGACGTCCAGCCTTCAGCACCGTGAGAGAATCAACCTCCACTGTTCATGCCCTGCAGTCTGAGGCACTTTGCTACAGCAGCCCGAGCTGACGAATACAGACACACACAGCTCTCCATGACGTGGAAGCCAGGCTGGAGGTCTACAATGACCAACAGCAGATTCACTTATTTCCCAAGACTGTCCAGGTGACTTGAATTAGGAGGAAAGAACCCTCCATACACATCTGCACAGGCGCACAAAGAAACTCACTCCCAGTTCATTCAGCCCGTGACTCTTGGGACAAGGAAACACGACCGTGCTTTGCTTGAGACAGACAGAAGAAGCTGGATGCCCACCTCTGGTTCCAGCACTGGCTCCAGCACGCCTGGGCTTTGAGGCGTGGCCTCAAGGTCTGAATCCTGCCTGGCCACTTTTAGTCCGTATAGCCTTGGGCAAGACGCTTCCCTGCTCTCAGCCTCAATTTCTTTATCTATAAAATGAGGATAATAACAGTACCTGCCTGGTAGGGCCTTTCACAGATGAATGGAAATGTAACAAAAAAACAGCTCAGGACTCAGATGTCCAAACAACATCTGTAATTTATACAAATTGTAGCACAGTAAGCACAGTGTTCTGTGGCATTAATCCTTCACCTCATGTGTCTCCAAGAATGTTCCGGATCATTACATAGGGCAGCGCTGTCCAAGATGGCAGCTACTGGCCACATGGAAGCTGTCCAGCCCATTCAAATTGACATGTGCTATGAATGTACAAGACACACCAGATTTCAAAGGTGCACATCAATAAAAGGCAGTAAACTATTTCATTAGTAATTTCTATAATGATCACAAGCAAAATGATAACAGTTTGACATATTGGGTTAAGTAAAATATATTATTAAAATCATTAAAATTAGGACTTCCCTGGCGGTCCAGTGGCTAAGACTCCACGCTCCCAATGCAGAGGGCCTGGGTTCGACCTCCAGTCAGGGAACTAGATCCCTCATGCGTGCCACAACTAAGAAGTCCGCATGCCACAACTGAAGACCCCGCATGCCACAACTAAAGACCACGCATGTGGCAACCAAGACCCAGTGCAGTCAAATAAATAAATTTTTAAAATTTAATTTAAAAAAAGGTTAATTATAGGGCTTCCCTGGTGGCGCAGTGGTTGAGAGTCCGCCTGCTGATGCAGGGGACACGGGTTCGCGCCCCGGTCTGGGAGGATCCCACGTGCCGCAGAGCGGCTGGGCCCGTGAGCCGTGGCCGCTGGGCCTGCGCATCCGGAGCCTGTGCTCCGC